ATTTTTTACCATCTCCCTGCCTTCACTACAACAATCAATCCAATTAATGATTGAACTTCTGGTAAGTCTTTTGTCTTCATAAACCTTGTACAAATTATCATATTCAACTGCAAAGGAATTTCCAAGACATACGTTAAACTTTACAACCATTCGTTGCTCGAGTACGACTGAGTCAACTATTTTTTGTCACAAGTCATCTACATATTGACGTCATTTTCACATTGTGACGTCACAAGCACGGACCAAAACATTATATAGCATCTGCTATTTATAGAACATGTGTATGACTATATGTGTGCCAAATTTCATTCTTTTCTGAATTGTGGTTTTGTAAATATAGAGATAGATCGCGAACTTTTTGATCACCCCTCATACTTGCAAATAATGTGGTCTAATGTCAATGTCAAGGCAAGGTGGTTTATGCAGCTGAAACATCTCATTTCGTTTAATCTATGTGTAAAGTTGTGTTATTGAGAAAATGCAAAAGTAATGTAATTAACTAGTGATCAATTACAATTCAAAGTAATCTATTAATCTGTCTTCTGATGTAAAATAACATTTATTTGGGTGAAAGATTGGTATAATTTAAACTTTTACTGTTTGATTTACCAATAATGAGGTAAAATGTCAAGCCCAGGGTAAACTCTATTGATAGTATATGAAGTTAGATCATTTTATTTACCTATGTAATACATGTATATTGGATGATTGAGATGATCAATTTAGATAAGCATATATGTCATTACCATTTTCAATAAGTAAAAACCTAGGTACATTTCTGTGGTTTCATGCTAAACATCTTATCGTACATTTCCTATGTTAGCTGCAATAATTTAGCCCTCTCCGTTTTTTTTTTTTTTTTTTTTTTTTTTTTTTTTTTTTTTTTTGTTTTGTTGTTGTTGTTGTTGTTGTTTTTTTTTTTTTTTTTTTGGTTTTTTTTTGGGAGAGGGCTACAACTCCTTAGGATCTCCGTAATGGAGCAAGTGCGGGAGTGATTCACTACCGCACAGATTTCGGCTCAAATTATCTGTAAGTGGGTATTTTATCAACATATCTTACCTGAACTTATAAAATGTAGTTATGCGGGACATGAATTGATCCAAAAATAAACATAACAATCCGTATATCGGGTATTTTTCGTGTATGTCAACATCACAACTTGAATTTATCCGCCATGTTTACTGACCTTGATCGATTTTATTTTGGGACAACCAATGAGAATTTGGGATCTAGGGGAGCGGATCTGTATGGATTTCCCTTATCATAAGCATAAATATCACTGTTTATGATAAAAATATCATATGGAATGCTTTTTATTTATTGATGTTAAGTGATATCATACAACACAAACATTTATCAACACCGATATTTACATTATCAAGTGATTCTAAATTTCAAGCGCAAGTCTCAGTACATCACGCGAGAACTGTCATGGCTGCTGAGAAGAACGACTGGAAAACACGCAGATTTATTTCACTTGGTTTTCGCGTAAAAAGGGCTATGATGTTGATAGTGAATAAAAATTCCGTTCTATTGGAAGTAAGTTGAATGCAAAAACAATTTATTTTGCCTGCAGTCGCCCGTATCTAAAAAATATATTTGCACCATTACGGAGATGCAGTGGAATTGTAGCCCTCTCCTGAAAATATCAGATTAAAAAAAAAATGAGAGGGCTACATTATTGCAGCTATTCCTATGTCTGTAGTTTATAGAGGATAATGGTTAACCCAGAGATAATACGAGGGCTGTCCATAAAGTTCGTAGACAAATGCTATAATTTTCTTTATAATGACCACATTGTCAAATGCATGGAATGTGTACGATATTATTTTGATATATACCATGTATTAAAATTATTTTACGAAAGTTATAGGTGTAAATAGATAATTGTTATGCAAGCCGCACGGCCCGGTCTGACGTTAAGCTAGTTTCATAATATATGGATTTTTAATTTTTATCAAATATCCGTGGACACCCGCTATTTTTCTTTATTATGCCTCACTGTTGATTGAATGCGATAATCATTTCATATAGACAATAATTAAGTATTTTTTTTTAAATTCAAAATACTATTTGATAATTTACGAGCGTCACCTGTATAAACACTTTGTATACATAGGCTGCACAGTCCAGTCCGACGTTGCGCTAGATTTATATACAACGTCATGAATAGAGACATCCTATTTTTGGTCAAATATCAGTATTTTTCCACTTCTTGTATTTCTCTCAAAATGTACACACCGTTCAAAAATCGAATATATTAATTTGAAATTAATGATATAAAAATATTCCAATAATTTACATTTTGCTGTTTAACGTTCCTCTCGAGAATTTTTCACTCATATGGAGACGCCACCACTTGCGGGCGGAGAGCTGCAAATTTTTACCTATACTCGACACTCAGGGCCCTGGAGCAGTGAGGGATCTTTTTCGTGCCAGCACCTACTGCGACATGGGACCTCGGTTTATACGGTCTCATTCGAAGGACCGGTCTCCACGTCCCACAGTGGGATTCGAACCCGCGATGTTAGGATCAACTCTTTACTCCGCAACTCTAGAGCAGACGCTCTAACCACTGCGCCACGCGGTCGACAATAATATAATTTTCAGTTGTTTGTTTTTGACATCTTATCAACTATATTAAAACAAAATGTTACGATTGGATGCCGTTCCATCCGGGAGGCCAACGTCGCTTTTTCTGTAATTTTTTAAAACATATTTCTTGTTTTTTTTCTTAGTTATTATTTTTCTCTGACCAATAACATTTGAGGCCACATTAAAGCCGATGGTCTAGCAACCAAATTTTTCTCGTATCGTCGGCTGAAAATCATGATCGTCTGACACTAGTATCAGGCGACGCGAGGCAGTCAGGTTAGATAAGAACTATGTCTATTTATACCCCCGCTCCGAAGGAGAGGGGGGTATACTGTTTTACCCTTGTGTGTCTGTCTGTCTGTGTGTGTCTGTCTGTCCGTAACAAATTTTGGTCGCAGTTTTCTCAGCAACTACTCATTGCAGATGCTTGGAATTTTAGCACAATCTTTGTTTAGGCATGCCATATGGTGGGATTCATTTTTGTACAAATTCGATGTCAACTTCCTGTTTATTCGTGCGTCTGTCCGTACCATACATAACAAATTTTGGTCGTAGTCTTCTCAGCAACTACTCATTGCAGATGCTTGATATTTTAGCACAATCTTTGTTTAGGCATGCCATATGATGGGATTAATTTTTGTACTAATCCGATGTCAACTTCCTGTTTATCCATGCATCTGTCCGTACCGTACATAACAAACATTTTATTCGTAGTTTTCTCAGCAACTACTCATCCCAGGTACTTGAAATTTTAACACATTCTTTGTTTAGGCCTGCCATACGTTGGGATTTATCACTTTTGTACTAATCCGATGTCAACTTCCTGTTTATTCGTGTGTCTGTCCTTACCATACATAACAAATTTTGGTCATAGTTTTCTCAGCAACTACTCATCCCAGATGCTTGAAAATTTAGCACAATCTTTGTTTAGGCATGCCATATGGTGGGATTCATTTTTGTACGAATCTGATGTCAACTTCCTGTTTATCCGTGCGTCTGTCCGTACCATATATAACAAATTTTGGTCGTAGTCTTCTCAGCAACTACTCATCGCAGATGCTTGAAATTTTAGCACAATATTTGTTTAGGCATGCCAGATAATGGGATTTATTTTTAACAAATCCGATGTCAATTTCTTGATTATCACTGTGTTTGTCCGTAACTGAACTTGTGTATTCACATCAGAGCGGGGGTATTATTAGTGAGCATTGGCTCACAGACTTCTTGTTGTTTCATTTGTTTAATGCACAATAATTCCTACGAAAACCAATGACTTCAAGAGTTTAAATATTTATAAGTCGGACAATCGTCCCCCGATCACTGAGCGCTGAGCCGCAGTTTGATTTTCATCATCGACCGACATTTACGAAAACCCAAAATTAAATGTCGACTGACCGACGATCGACTTGCCAAACTGTCTGCGTATGGTCGGACGATGATCGAGGGTTGGTCGATGGACTATTCGATGACTGCTTCAAATTGAAGAAATCGGCCACCGATGCAGAAAAAATTATAACTGGGCCAGACAGACACAAAATTGGTCAAGAGCCAAAATCGGACAAAACAACGGCCGTCGAACTGCCGACTGTCGCCCGAAGAATCCAATTTTTGCCTCAAAATACGTCGGCCGTTGTTCGTTTTTGGAAATTTGGCTCTGGTTTTAAGCGATACTAGATTTATCGTAAAATGACGACAACCGCTTTATTTAAGACACATATCAAGTTTTATTAAGTTTTGACTTGTTTTATGAAGAAAATTATTATCTTAATCGGAAACCTTCATTTCAAAGTTTATTACATTTTAACCCTGAGCCATGCGCACTATATATCTGCGACCTTTAAAGAATGCGATTTTTACAGAAAAATATTAAGTTCAAATTACAAAAACCAAATTATTTTGCTTGGTTTTCATAACAAATGTTTTGGTATACAATAAGTATATCTAGGACCATTCAGTTTATCAAAAACTCATTGTCCACGAACTTTATGGACAACCCTCGTACTTATTAATTTACCAGCTTCAGGGACAGAGGTCAAAGTCAACTCGAATGCAGTGTAAAATTAATATAATCACGAATTTACTATGTCGTGGTGTTAGCAAATTATGATTAGAGAATGCTACATGTAAGGATTTTTTCGTAATTCCTTTAAGTGAATTAAGCCAAATTTAAAGAAAGATTTTGAAAACAGTATATAAAAATCATTTACTCCTGATTTACCAATGCGTTGTATTAGTGAAAATTACAAATAGATCACCCAGAATAAAACTAAACGCACCAGCCAAATGAATTTGTTGACTCAGAGGGTGGGGTAATGATCATCAATGATCCATAACATAATCTAAGCTAGAGAAAAGCTACTCGATCTCTAAAAGAATGACACTATAGTTTTTATTTTATCGGTTTATCAATCTAAAATAAAATCAGAGATGCGTCACTTCACACTCATTGTGTGACTCAGTCTCTAAAATCAGAAGACCATTTTTACAGGAGACAGGAAGTGACGTAATGTATGCCACCTCGTCTGCCATGTTGAACAATGGATTGTCCACTGCTGTTATGCTTTCAGTACATGATCTCGAATGATCCCTCGGACAGGAAGAATTATTCCTCTGGGAGTTCCGTTGCTGTGAATTTTCCCCATCTTTTATATTCGTATTATCTCCATTTTTAGTACCTTTCCGGAAGCTTGCTTTTAAGCTATTGTTTACTTCTGTTGATTTATTGCTGTCCAGGTTTGACCTTATTGTATCTGTTGCAGAGTTTACCTTTGAGGCCTTTGGGTGTTTTTGAAGAATACTCGTTACTTGTCTTCTCAGTTTCTTTGTAGCTATGTGAATTTGTGTTGTTTTATAACTTCTTACTACTGAAATAATACACGAGCGTAATAAAAATATGGGCACGATGCATAAAATATGAACTTCAATGACGTGAAAGTAGATAAAATCACTAAACATCACAACACTTATAATGATGAATATTCCCACAAGTACAATACAAGATAACCATCCTATCAATTCAATTCTATTAATCCAAATCAGATTCTGGAAGCGCTGAAATTCCCGGCTATTAATCGTCAATAAATGCTGATTGTGTTTCACTTTTTCTATGTAGAGTTTTAAAATTATTTCCATCACTACAGTGGAAAGTAATCCAACACACCACAGGGAAATTATAGAACACACGTACTCAACAGAAAAAAAATTCTCGTATGCACACACAGCATCGGCATTATTCCACCCCATTAGCGGAAGAAAACCGAGGACGAAAGAGATATTCCATAAAAACACCATCCCTGTGATTATGTTGGTTTTTTTCATATGAAGAATGTATTTAAGTGGATGTGTGAAACGTAGGCAGCAATCTGCATGGAGCCACACGAGTGTGAACACAAATGCTGTGGTCGCCGTGATCAGAAGACTATCCGGGAGAAAGCAATTTACCTTTGTTGTTTGCATCGAATAAAAAACGATCGCTTTAATTATTGCATAAAGACCAAGCATGGCGTCCGCCCAGCAGATACTCCTCATAAATACCAGCACTGGGCTTTTGCCGCCAGTCGTAAATTTGGACAATAACAGAAATACTGCATTGGATATAATAGAAAATATCCCCAATCCTCCCCACACAAACAAAAGTGGAATAAATCGGTCGACAATTTGTTGAAGTTTCTGTTCCTTTGACTCAGAGTCTGTCAAGTTGGTGTTTGGCGATACGTTCATCCCGCCGACATCACGCGAGATTATTTTTGGTCTTCTCAAGGTTTCAACGCATGTCCTGTCTGTAAAACATATTCTTTAATCAGTTAAAATAAGTTAAGATTATATCAGCTTGTATGATTTCTTAATATTCAGGTATTCATGTAAATGTATATCATATTATCTATTAAAAAAATTATTGATGACTATGTCACTTGAAATTCAGTCCTAAATTTCATTTAATAAGCTGTAAATCATCACTTTTCAATTTCCCACTTACCAGCAAAGAAAAGCTTAACACAGTTATACCTGTATACATCCCCTGTTTTTTTAAGCAAAATATCGACATTTTCAGTAAATATTAATTGATACCATGCACTGCATGGTTGCTTAGATATTAAGGGCTATACGTTGAGTTATAAAATAATTAATCTTAACTTAAAACAAACAATGCAACAGCAGGTTCAAAAATATAAAAAATACATATAAGTTTAGTCTATAAATTTAAACGTATTTTTATGCTTACAGAGTTAAAAGCAAGAGAGAGAGAGAGAGAGAGAGAGAGAGAGAGAGAAATGATATACATGGTAGAGTTCATTCTTTTCCCAAGCGATTAAAACACAGTCACACATTGTTAAACTACAAAGACTTCTGAAAATATGTAGTACATGTAGCTTCTCAGTTCCTTATTATGCGTATGGTTCATGTTTACATCAAAGTCAACTGCAAGTACAATGGTTGATATTAATTACATAGTGATCCAGGTATATTGTATGAATGGAAAAAATAGAATACCCATTCTCAGAAAAAGTTACTGAATAAGTGATAGCACTGATGCAATTCTAAGGGATTATTTTTATTCTAAGTGTAGCAGGCCAATGAGGACTTAACTGAGAGCGTAAAGAACAAATGACACCTCCGCGTCAGTTAACTTCCATTTGTGACGTCACTCTTCCTTGAGCGCTCCATTATTTTTCAGGAATGGAGAGTTGCAATTTACATAGAAAACGGTTTTTAATATGTACAAACTTTCCTTCCCGTGCCTCTGCCGGAACAAAAACTTTATAAAAAAATATTAAGTCATATAAAAAGTGTAGCACTCCTGGGAGTCGAACTAAGTAAACTCGGGCACTCATTACACTACGCTTTTGTACATAGAGCTGATGAACGATGACTGAATTATAACTTCATAACGCTTTCTTCGCTGCTAAATCTCTCTCCATATAGATGCGTTTATAAAGTATATATTAATGCATTTTATTAAAATATTTCTTTATCATTTATTGACAAACAATAATTACGATCATTTAAAAAAGGGGATTTTAAATGTAGCGCTCCATTCCTTAAAAGCAATGGACCTCGTCCCCTAGCTTCGGGGTCTTGGCTCCATGACTTTTTTAGGAACATAATCCGGCTCGTACATTAACCCTTACAGAATTCAGTGCACTAAGGTATTACACATCATGCCAACGTGTCTTTATCCTCACTGATAGGTTTACAGAAGTTAATACCTTTTCCTCAGAATGATACCTTTTGTCTCGACTTCAGGAAGGAAACAGGCGTTAAATTTCAGGCTAACTCAAAGAACAGTTGCTGAGATAGTTACAAATTATACACGTGGTTTTGCATGTGGGTTGCTAATAATGTATAAAACAACTGTGTTTGTCTCTTGGGAAATGTGTTTGGAGGAAAAGAAACCAAGTGTTTCTTAGTTTAAACACTGTCAAATAGAAACCGGAGCTTGATATGGACGAAACTGACCGCACGTCAAAAAGGATGGAGCTCGTCTCACTGTGAACTTTTATCCAGCTACAAATGCTTTAAAGTTTCTTCATTTGCTGACATATTTCTGCCTCTTACTTGAACTTTCTCCAAATTATGTCAATTAACATGCGAGAATATTAAGTAAACAAGATTGTTATAAATGTCAGTATGCTATTTTCTTATGTTAAATTACTTACGTGCATTATGATTATATTAAAATCGGAGATAATTACGCTAACATACATCATATATTCTTATGTTATTATATATTGTTATGTTGATATACCAGTTATTCACGCTCACATGCATTTTTTTTTACATACATGTAGTAAAGAGACATGTCGTCATATTTAACATTCATATCAACACTGCTATCATTTGTTATATTTAAATTGCATTTTAACATACTAAAGTGAAATATGGAGATAACGAACAGTATTTACGCTCAAAGTCCATTTAGACAATACAAATCGGGAGCAGAGAAAACACGGACCTTTTTAGGTGGGATCAGGTGCCATGGAGGAGTGAGCATCCCCCGCCGTGTGCTCCTTTTCATGATCGGGAAAACGGAAGAATGCGTAGACATATCAACATAGCTTTGTTGCATGTATGCCCTCGTAATTAAGTTGCATGTCGACATACTGAAGCTGTATGTCAAAACGAAGAAGTTATATGCTACAAATTAATATTCATGTAGACATACATACATGTAGACACAATTACATGTAGCTATAATTAAATGTAGACATAATTTCATACAAGCTCCATAACTATTTAGCTTGTTGACTTAAGTTGCATGTTAACATAATTCGTAGAAAAATAACATACAGAGTATAGAAATAGGCCACCATGTCCTCAATTGTTCTGAGATATGATGGCATATTTCGCGGTATACCAGGGTCGTTCAATAAATAATGCAAAAGGTCATCAAAAATAGGAAAAGCACACACACAAAAAATCCAGTTCCTTTATATATCTAATCCTTCTAAGTTTTCCCTTTTAACCTGTACTGTCTCAAGCCTCTTTACTCATAACCAGAAGACCTCAGAATACTCCTTTTTGGGTAACCCAAAAGACACTGATGGATAGCACACCCCGCGACAGATCTAAAATAGCAGCGTCTTCCTTTCATTGTTTTCTGGATTCAAATGTCACAATGACTGAGATCTAGCAAATACGGAGGGTTGATAAGCCCTGTTACTTTCCTCAAAATTTCCTTTACATCGCTATGCCTATTTGCAACAGCGTTGTCAGCTTCAAGAAAATCACCCTGGGTACGGGTATTGTCCTTGATACAATTTCAACATAAAAGCTACCATTGATGGTCTTTCCCTTGGGTGTAGGTACATGTATCACTTGAAATCTCGAATAAAAAGAAAACCAGTATAAGACCTGTTTGGAGCTATGGCGTTCTGCGATAATAGGACGGCAGCTTCCTCTCTGATTCCACATTTTACTATTGGTCTTCCATTTTGGCTACTTTATAAACAATGCACCCATGTTTCGTCGACCATCGCACAGGTTTACCATACCTTCTTTTGTTAAAATGTTTATAATTCAATAGACCTATGGTACATTTAAAGCATGTTTTCTTGCATCTGTAAGGAAATAATGCACTCATTTGACAGAATTTTTTTTTTAATTTATTCCTTCGTCAGAACTCAATCAACTGTTGTGACGATGAAATGTTTAGTGTCTTAGCAAATGTCAGTCAATGTAAATCTGGCATTTCCAGATATCATGTTGCTCACAGCATCGAATTTTTTTGATGTCCCTATATATCTCGATCGACCAGTTCAACTGCAACTTTTAAGTTCCCTTTTCTACTACTGAATTTTCTAATCCATCTGAACATCGTATTGCGTGAAAGACTTGTCTTTCCAGATAACAAAACCATATCTTCATTTGGGTTCTTCAGCGATTGTTTAATGAACCGCAGATTTTACATAAGCCCTCATTTTCATCTTCTTGGCAGAGACCTTTTAAAAAGTTTTTTAGCTCAGTGAAGTGACCATTTTTACTTTAATTTTTTTTTGTGTGTGTTTTTTTTTTTTTTTTTTTTTTTTTTTTTTTTTTTTTTGCGAAGACTATGGGAAAAAAAATGCAGTTTTCGGTGATTAGGAGTTCCTAAGTAGAATTTTTTCTAGTGTGAAAAAGTAAAATGAATTGCTTTTACATTTATTATGATAAACCGTATGCTGCGTTATTTATTGAATGACCTTTGTATCCTGCCTCTTGTACCATGATGATGTTTTAATTCTTGTATTCTGGACAAAATTTCTTGCCAAAGCCAACAATCCTAAACACATCAATTTGAAGTCTGCGTTACTCTTTCTTGTCCAGTACAAAATACGTTGTCCCTACTTTTGCCGATGTGCTGAGTTCTGTAGCTTAAGTTACGAGCAGCATAATTTACTGGCACTATCTATTTATAGTCTATGACATATTTAGATATTGACCACATGAATGTGTACAGGTAAAAAAATTTTTGATCAATATATTAATTAAAAATTCTCTATCGATATGTTTTAGACATATGTGAACTCGTTGACAATACCGGTAAGTCTATTTAAATAGAAGCGGCATACTTGTGGAATTAATGCCGAGTTGCTTTCATTTTTTTTCCTCATGTAAAATAAATAGATAAAATAAACATGTGTAAACAAGGTATTGAATAAATAAATATATCAACTATCTACGTATAAAATATTTTTCTTATAAAAATGAATTGATCTTGTCTATTTGGGAACATTCTACAATTGGAAATAAAAAGGTCATTTCAAAGGAAAAATTATACAACATTGCTTCTTATGCGACAAATCAAATTCTAACTTTTAAACATGATTTCATACAGTTATAATTTTGAGAACAAAACAATAAGATTGAAGAATGAATCATAACAGGAGATTTTATATTTTCTAAACAATTTCTCTCTCTACAGACAGCACGTTTATCATTACTGCAGAGTGTTAATAACAAAATTTTATTTCTCGATTTTTATAACAACGTAAGATATTTTTGGTCAACTCGGGCATACAGTAAAACCTACCTTAAGAATTGTAAGCACTGTAAAGCTCCCACGCCAGGCTCCAAGGATAATTATTCTATATCTGACATTATTTTACCTGAAATTGAACGAAACAATTACCACTTATGTTATATAACACCTTGTCAATGTGTAACCGGCCCGACAGGTAAGAAATATACGTATCATGTGCTACAGGAAGGCTTAAATCGATTATAGATTGTGTACTTGAGCTCTTGCATGTACATGTAGTAATAATTATATTGCCGTATAAATGCATAGCAGTGTATGCAAAGAAAATAAAAACACAACCCTGTATATTAAATGCATCAAAACATGCCACAATGAAATAAAATTTCATATTAAGATTACACTACAATGATCCTCTATCCCAAGGCCCGAAGTATCGTTTTCTAAAGGGGGTGCTGAAAAAAATGATCTCAGCTAAAAAAAAATTTGACAAGCTAAAAAAAGTCCAAAGTCGAAAAGCATCTTTTGCGTGTGTGTGTATGTGTGTGTGTGTGTGTGTGTGTGTGTGTGTGTGTGTGTAAAGGTTCCAACTTTTCTCACAACCAGATTTTATTAATACAGTACCACATTACCTGTTATTTCATTAAACTGCAACAAAAAGTCAAAAGAGGGAGGGGGCAACCAGCCTTTCAATGAACATTTGTAACATGTACATCCAAATACAAAGAAAAAGAACACCACCGAGTGACAAATTTAAAAGGCGGTGGGTGTTGGGGATGCCTTTGACACTCCCTCGCCACGTTAAATTAGCATAAAACTAAAACCTGGATCCGCCCTCACCTTCGTGTGTATTTAAAATGTGTGGATACTTTTTTTCCCAAATAAAAACCAACTAGTGGTTGGTAACTTTTATCATTATTCTACACTTAACTGTGATATTCACATTTTCAAAACTAAATTAAGAATGCGATTCTGAAATTAAATGCATGGAATAAGACATCAGGATATACATTAAGAATATCTCAGGAGATTAAGACAGCTCGATAAATAAGCCTTCCAAAACATGAATAAATAAATAAAAACCACCGAGAATTTAGCCTTCAAAGTACGAAGAAAGCAAGTCCTTATTTATTGTTTATGGAAAAAAAATTCATAATTAATATGAATGTTGGTAGATTTGTTTTGTGTTTGTGAAGTACATTGTGTTGTTGTATAGGAGAGGTATTCTCTGCTTGATTATTGACGTGTAACTATCAGTATCAGCTTACCGCCATAATGATATGTAAGAGATTCAAATGTTACAATACATCACAGAGAAGAAATGACGCCAAACATCAATAATTCATTCACCAATGTTTTCATACTGATCAACTGTGCGATATGATCAAATCAATCATGGACTAAAAACGTAAGGTTTAAGAGGGTTTTTTTTTAATTATAAGTAGATTGGTCAGACTAGCTATAGAATTAAGATTTTTTGTTCTGTGTCTTTGATGTTATAGCAAATCAGCAGTAAAGTCACAAATCAGAAGTGAAGATACATGCTGATAACATTTGAACTTTTATTTTGTGCCTTTTTATTTTAAAAAAAGATTATCACATTTTAGTATCAATATTCATTATCCATATTTCTTAATAAATATTGATTTTTGTAGATTTTTAACAACATAATATGTTTCTGTATTAATAAAGGTATTTCTTGCCTGCAGGAATTTCAAATCAATTCAATTTAAAATCTTGAAGTTTAAAATTTAGAGTTTTCAGCCACCTACAGGCACATAGTATCGTTTTTGAAAGGAGTCGAAGTCAGAGAAAAGAATTGACAACTTACCTAAAAAAAAGTTGACATCCAAACTCGAAAATTTTATTTCGTGGGGTGGGGTAGGGGGAGGGGGTGTAAGGTTTCAACTTCTTTTACCACCTATAAAGTCGCCCACGTGGCGCAGTGGTTAGAGCGTTCGCTCTAGAGTTGATCCTTACGTTGCGGGTTCGAATCCCACCGTGGGACATGAAGACCGGTCCTTTGGATGAGACCGTATAAACCGAGGTCCCGTGTCGCAGTAGGTGCTAGCACGAAAAAGATCCCTTACTGCTCAATGGCCCTAAGTGCCGAGCATAGGTCAAAACAGGGTGTTGCAGAAACTCGCGATTATTCCCTAAATCGAAAAGAACATTTAAATACCCACGACGCTTGAAGGGTTATCTTTAAATATAGATAATGCTACGTAGATGACTTTATTTATGCGGCGGGTATGTTCACCTTGTTATAACAAAACATTTCACATTTTACGTTTATTTCATACATAGTTTTTTCCTAACATAGACTGGCGACCTGTAAGTAAACTTTTTTTTCACATCTATGGTCACTGTCGCCATATGGCACGAGAAAAGTTAGAACGATGAAAAGCACAATTAATGGCAAGTGCACTACGCACATCATTTTGAAAGATGTACTGTAGACAGCGTGCGTTAATATTTTTCAATATATAAAAATGTGTCCAATAATCACGCTGTTGATGCAATATCCAAGAAATTCTTGAGTCATTTCAATTTAGTTGTTTCAAGTCAAATCTGAGCCGCTTATTAAAAGAACAATTATGAAACGAAATGCGTATGAAAAAATTAAATTATTTAAAATGATGGTATTTTATTTTTTTTTAAGACATCACCAATAAATAGTAACATTAAATGTATATCTTATTGGTTTTAGATCTCAATATCAAGTAAAACAATTTAATTCTGCATGCATTTAAAATATTACCCATTATTATTATTATTAATATTACCCATTCTGACATTCTCTCCCTCTCTCATTGTACTTCCATTATATATGGAAAAATATATATATACCAGCCATTCCAGGAATTCGAACCCATTCTTAGGTAAAAGAATCTTTTGTTAGAGTCCACACACTTTACCACTAGACCAGCTCCGACACTAAAGTATCTTATGCTATTTTATGTGCACATTTTGCATTTCGGATGGATAATAATTTTTATTCGATTTTTGTGATTTTCAAAAATATGCCTCTTTGAAACAAAAATCGGAAATGGCAGTTTTGAAGAAAATCCCTGTCTCTCTATGCGTATATAAAATTCATTCTGTTTCAAGGAGGCAATTTTTCAGAAAAATGGAGATTCCATATTTGAAAAACAGAAAACTTGACTTATTTTGCTATGTGACTAATTTACACTTCATTTAATGGTAAATTGGAAGTCGATATGCAGTTTCTAAATATTATTCTATATTGTGCTGTACATACCGTTGTATCTGAAAAAAAATTTAAGACCGTTTTCTGTTACTAAAAATTTTTCTTTTAAACTGCTACAGCTTTAGGGAAAATAACAAAAGAACTGCAACACCCTCTTTGCAGCTCTCCACCGGCAAGTGGTGGCGTCTCCATATGAGTGAAAAATTCTCGAAAGGGACGTTAGATAATAAACACCAACCCGATACTACATGTACATTATGTACGTGCCTGACCTGAATCGCGTCTTCTCAACTAAATCTTTCTGCGTGTAGCTCCTAACGAAGTTAATATGAATTATGCACAAGCAATTTGCATTTTAAACAGTCATTTTCTTTCATTAATAAAATATTTTCTATACCATAATAGTTATTATAGAATTTATTCTTCTATTATTATCATTATTTATGAAGACTAATGTCTAAAACATTAAGCACCTTTGTTTAAATTTCACTTTAAATTGAGATCTGCAGAAAAGTTTTACTTTTTTACCAAAAGTTCTGGAGAAAAGGATATTTTTAACGTGGAGTTTAAGTTTGATTGAACTTGGCCCGGCGCTTCTTAAGAGGAAGTTGATAGTAAGAACTTAAATAGTAAATAATTTTTCTCTGGTTATAACGCGGTATTTGATTGGATAAAAAAATACTTTACATCGTATAAATTGGGTTGCCTACGATACAATGACTTGCGTCAAAAACGTATCGATCCTCCTAACGTTACAGTTAAATTTTGTACAATTTGAAGTCATTTTCAAGGCAATCAACACTTTTCTTTCAATAAATGAATGAAAATTAAATCATAAGGAATGAATTCAATAGCTACCCAATTTAAACGCTGTTTATAAAGCGTAAACTGTCCCAACCCAGTTTACATCACATGGAAAAGTGGCTCACATAATATTCATGTGATTATCTTTTTACTTGAAAATTATGCGAAATTCATGTAAAAATTGTATAAATAATTTTTCATGCGTATATGATGTAAATTGGTTGTATGATATTCACATAATTTTTTTTTAGAACTTTCATGTTAATTTTTCTTTGCAGGATAGTTATGCGATATGCTCTTCATGTAAAATTGATATAAGAGTTATGTAAAAATCACATGAAGCTTTCACATAGATTTCATGTATCTTGTCTTTCATCCATTTATCATGCAAATAATTCACATGAATTTCACTCTGCAAGAAAAACGATACGTTAATTTAAAGTATTTAAGGTTGTATATTAAAAAAGATATATTTACATTTGCTGTGTTTTTTTACCTTATCAATTTTGGAACTGATTTGAATGCCATTTTGTGTATACTCACGCGTAGAAATATACACGGAGAAACTCGCGCTTAAGTGACATCACAGTGAGGCTACGGAGACGTTAATAAAATGTCACGATATAGGGCAGCGAGAAATTCAAATATTTAGTATATTATTGGTGATTTTAAATATGTTAAATGTAAATATAAGGAATGTTTTTAAGTTAATATGAATTATTGGTGTGTAAATCACACAGACTTGCACGTAGGCATATTTTTCATAAAGTGCTAGCGCGCTTCATGAAATATGCCCACGTAACAAATCTGTGTGATTTACACACCAATAACTCACACAAAACTTAAAGACATTCCTTAAATATCTCACACAAAACTAAAAAAAAATCCTTAAGCATCTTGTTTCCAGGGAAGCTTTGTACATGATACAGCCAAGTGTATTGAATCCCGTATTTCATGAAATATGTGGAGATGACGAACAGTATTCGAGCTCAAAAGTCCATTAAACATTACAAAATAGGAGCAGAGCAAACACGGACCTCTAAGACATAAGAGGTGGGATCAGGTGCCATGGAGGAGTGAGCA